CATAACCTTTTTTTTTTTTCCCCATGATCTGTTCCTTCTTTTACTTAAGTTATACAATATTTTTGGGCATTTCTGCCAATCATTCTTTCTATTTTTTTTTTTCATTAATCCAAGGTAGCTCAGTTGGTTAGAGTGTTGTCCCAATATGCCAGGGTTGTGGGTTTGATACCCAGTCAGGGCACATACAAGAAGCAACCAATGAATGCACAACTAAGTGGAACAACAAATCAACATTTCTCTTTTTCTCTGAAATTAGTAAAAAACTTTTCTTCATTGATTTTTAGGGAGAGAGAGAGAGAGAAACATCGATGAGAGAGAACATCAATGGGCCACCTCCTGCATACCCCCCACTGGGGATCGGGCCCACAACCTGGGCATGTGCCCTGACAGGGAATCGAATCGGCGACCTATGGGTTGATGCTCAACCACTGAGGCATACTGGCCGGGCTGAAATCAATAAAAATGTTTTACAAAAAATAAAATATAGTGATAGGCAGGGGCATAGTGAACTGATTTTGGACAATCATTAGTAAAGTCATCTACATGAAAATAAACTTAGTTGTAAGGGGATAGCCTTACTAATAACATCATTTAAATCCTGGGGAAGAAGTAATTTTTCAATACTAGTTTTAATCAATAACCACATTATTGGATATCAGATGGTGAATTTGCAAAACAAAAAATTATTTTGAAAAATAGATCATCACACCAAAAATTGCCAATCCATAAAGGAAAAGATTCAAAGATTTGCAGCACAGAAGTGTTGCAAAAAGTATGTACACAGTGAAAATATACATGACAAATCAAAAACACAATTCTGCAATGTACTTAACAAAAGATACATATTTTTAATAATTTCTATATATCATTAAGTAAACCAATAGAATAATGAGCAAAGGATGAAAAAACAAAGTCACAGAAGAAACAAAAATTGCCAATAAACATGATATTCAACCTGATGATCTAGGAATGAATCTTATATACATTTTCACAAATATTCAAGGATTTACCTTTTAAAATGTTCACTGCAGCATTATTAACAAAATATTGTAAACAATATTAAATAAAATATTGTATGCTACTATGCAGCCATTAAGAATAATAGATTTCAAATACTGACAGTGTAGCATAATCTCACTTTTGTTAAAACACATACTTACAAGACTTATACATACAAAATATTAAAAAAAAAAAAATTCTTAGTATTTGTTGAGGAAAAGTTACACCAAACTGTGAACAATGGAAACTGAAACTTGTGATTATACATATAAAGGACTTGTACTTTATAATATCTTGTTTGCATTTATAAAACAAGTACGTGTTACATTTATCATCAGCAACATAGTCAAGAATTTCCATTTTGGGGAAAAAATGTTTTATGTTTAGAAAATGGCCTGGTGAGAAAATAAATGTCAACATGAAGAAAAATGGCTCGGGCGGGCTTCCTATCCATGGGTTATTCTCCTTCAAATGCATGGCTTTGTTACTACTGCTTACAATTAAAAAGCAAGCATTTTAAACAAAGAACAATTAAGTATCTTAATTGACTCTTTAAATGGTTATAAAAGGGTATAATTTAACTGCAAATGAAAATGCACTAAAAGTGGGATCTGATGCCTAGAGATTTACACCACCTAATGGAAGGGTATGAATTTGACAGAGATGCTGTTTTCTAAAATTATAAAACCCACAGATTCAAAATCTAAATGTGAATCACAAAGACATGCTCTACACTATGCGTTCTTTCACTTCAATCTAATCTTAGAGCCTCATTCCTCCATCCCCACCAATGCAGTTCTTTCTTTTGGAGACCAAAAAAAAAAAAAAAATCCTGTGTTTTTGGACAGCTGTCTCTTTTTCCCCTGCACTGTGATATTCCAATATCCTTGCTCAGAGATTTCTAATGCACTAAGTAAGCCCAGCTGGAGTGGCTCTGTTGGTTGGGAGTCCTCCTGTGCATCACAAGGTTGCCGGTTTGATTCCCGGTCAGGGCACATACCTGGGTTGCAGGTTTCTCTCTCTCCCGTCCTCTCTCTCTAAAGTCAATAAATATCTATATATTTTTTAAAAGAATATAGTAATGGCTCTGTAACTGAAAACAACAAATACTTACACTTTAACAAAATAATATCCTAAACATTTAAAGGGGAATTTATTTGTACCATTAAATCAAACAAATACATTAAATTGAAGGAAAAAGAATTCTCCTAAATGCTGAAGAAAAACACAGGTTGTATGGACTTGGGTTCTTGGGAACAGTCATGCCTCACAAGCCACTTGGGTATTCCCAACTGTTACAACACTCTTTTCAGTTTTAGACAAAGTATGACACCAGACAGAAAGGCAAAATGATTCCAGCAGAGAACTTGAAGAATAGAACCAACAAGGAGGAAACCTCTTGTTGGTAGAAAGTAGAATGGATTTTTTGTCCACTTAAAGAAATGCACTCTTTTGAAAAAGAAACCAGTCATTTGGTATGTTAGTAAGGCTTTTCACTTACCTGTTCAAGGAAAGGACAAAGAGCTGGCTTTGTTTTAGCAACCTGTATATTACAATCCGTATTCCTTTTAACCCAAGGCAAAGACTAGAAACCTGTCCACACCCCTGAGCCAAGTCTGTCCTGAAGTACAAGTGTTTGGTTATGACCTCACCTGCCCACACCCGGGGACCTGTCACAGCATGGACAAGTCTAAACAATCCTGTTCCTCCACCCAACATTCTTCCTAGTACTCAAATACAGCCCACAGAATAAATGTTAAAAATGGGGCACCTTCTGAAGGCAACGGCTTCCCATTTTTCTGGGCCCCCTTCTATAGGTTTCCTCTTTCCAATGTATTCCGACTTCTGCTCCAGGATTTCTCCTCCTAAAACACCCCTGAAATGTTTTCAGTGAGGTCACTGCACTGGTAAATCTTAGGTCATTTTCCCTAAAACAATTCAAACCCCATGGTAAAGCAATCAGGAGTTCTTAGTATCAGTGAATAAACAACCCCTTTGTCTTTTTCTACCATTCGACAATTCTTGAGCAAATGCTTGTTTCAATCATGCTCTCGTCTATGGAAATCCTACCTTACCTTCTAAGGATTAGCTCAAAGGCTCTTTCCAGTCTTCAAATTCCCTCGAAAAGAACTTAGACCCTCGGCCCTGGGAATCTAAAGGTGCTTCTCCCACCACCCTAAAAACCCAGGCACCTTGCCCTCCTCACATGGCCACTTAGTGAACCTCGCAACAAAGAAACCATCCGTCATTATCTCCCACTAATGTTATAAGCTCCTTAATTAAAGCAGATTCTATCATGGTCTTCTTTTAATGCCCCAAAGCACAAACAACAACTTAGCCCAAGTTGTGTCCTCAATACATTAAGTGAATAAATCAAGATTTAGGAGTCAATTTTTGGAGAAATCAGGGCTTTTATAGGGCTTTTGACTGAGAGGCAGGACAACGGATAAGAGCATGGATGTGAGGGTCAGTGTGATCTGGACTTAGATTCACTAAGTTACTTACCAGCTGTCTTAGGCATTTCCTCTGAAACACAAAGTTAACAGAACATACTTAATACGGTGATTGTGTAAATGGGGTAAAGCACAAAAATACCTTAACATGACATCTGTGGCATATGCTAAGGAGATAACTATTAGGTATCTCTGGTGTTCAAAGAGGACTCTAACGGACATTTGAACAACCACTTCTATGATTTAGGGAACAGGCAAGTCTTTGGTTGAAGACTGGCCCCCCAATAACCACTGCTTGATTGTTGACGAGACCCTTTAACCTCTATGCCTCTGAAATTTCCTTATGTTATACACATACATGGTGACAGTATGTGTATCAGATAGAAATGCTGGGTAAGATAATGAGCTTACTTTTATTATGCGTTTCAACTCAGAGAAAAAAACCAAACTTATTGAATTTTAATTTTATTCAGTTTCTATCATGTTCTGTGAGGGCTTTGAAAATAAATCTCCCCCTTTCATATATAATTTCCCTTCCTTTCACTGTTTATAGAACAGTAAATTTGATGATTCAGGTTCTCAAAATAAAAACTAAATCCAGAATGATCATATTTTGCTCCCTCTGCTGGCCTAAAAGCAGGATAATACCGGGTGGGGCAAAAGTAGATTTACAGTGGTGAGCATTTGCCTTTATTCTTATATTATTATTTGTTAATTATAATTTTCCATACAAACAACTGTAAACCTACTTTTGCCATACCCTGTACTACCTGAGACTAATAGTTCATCTAAATGTTTATTTTCAGGAACCTGACTATAAAGATGTGATAGCATTCCACATAAAGACAAAAACCAGATTCAGGCCCTGGCCGGGTAGCTCAGTTGGTTAGCGTCATTCCCGTACGCCGAGGTTTTGGGTTTGATCCCCAGTCAGGGCACATACAAGAATCAACCAATGAATGCATAAATAAGCTAAACAACAATTCGATATTTCTCTCTTTAAAATCAATAAATTAATAAAAGAAAAAAAATCCAGTATCAGCTCTTTTATAGATCTGACATTTAAAAGCAAATTTTAATGTCTACCTTCTATTTTTAATTACTAGTTATCTTGGGATTCAAGTCTAGAAATTTTTTTGTACATTCAATTCATTTTTTTCAAAATGATTAAGATTCTGTTATTTCTATATTTAAGGCTGAAATCCACTGACAACACCCAATTTTTCAATTTCTTATATTTCCATTGCTTTTCCCCCTTTATATTTCCATTAATTTATAGTTTTATATACTAACTTCACTGTGAATCACTTTTTTGTATTCAAAGTCTTAGATTGCGTATATGAAAACTAATTTATTAAACCTTTGTACACAAAGATGAACATACCTGTATAGGAAGGATGAAATTACAAAAAGTAAAAGTGTTATTAAAATTGATGTATGTAAATCACTTACAAAAATACCCCGAACGGAGTAAAGCTGCTCATCCCTGATTTTTCTCATTTGGTTGTCGAAGTTGAAATGCAAATTTAAAATGGTTAGAATTTTTTCTCTTAAAAAGTGATAATTAGCAAAATGTAGAAAGGGAAAACAATGTACAAAAGACGGATTAAAAACCATCACTCTTGACAGACACTCACAATCCAAAAATAGTATAAACCTTAACAAACTCTAAACCAGCTCGTACTTACATTTCCCCCCAAGTTTTTATGAATGAGAATAAAATATAGTAACCCAGCAAGCCCGATCTCTCCATTCATTAAAACAGGCCCGACTTTAGGCCACAGAGAAGCTTGGATAGATTTTTAAACATGGGAAGGACAAACAGGAAGACGGTTTATCTGCCCACTCAGGACCAGTGACCAGACACAGAGGTACAAGTAATTGAACAGGGCTTGGTGCCATGTCAAGCAGTTACTCAGAAGTCTTCTTGTTTTTCTGCTGGTTTCGGGGTGAGTTCTTTAACAAGTTTCTTATCCTGAGGTACATTCCAGTAGATTCTGCCATATTCTCAAATTCAAACGGCGTGATTCCGGTGGCGAACTTGCTCATGTCAGGGATAAAACTGTGAGTTTTAGTGGCTGTCGAAGGACTGGTGTCCACAGGCAGGAGCTGCTGCTGGCTGCCTCCATTCCTAACGTCACAGTTTGACGCAACACTGCCATTCTCGAGAAGAGCACCTTCAGAGTCCACCTGAGCAGACTCTTCCTTGTCATCCTGACAAAGCAATGTCGCCTCAGACTTTGGGCTGCAGGAATGCTCCGCTTCCGATTTCTTTGCACAAGTGTCTGGTTCCTCAGGCTCATCTGACACCTGCTTTTCAGATGGTTTTTCCTCTGGGACAGGGAGGTCTAGCTCGTTTGGACAAGGCGAAGAGGCAACTGAATTTCCAGTTAAAGGTGTGTCAACAGGAATGTCGGAATCACTGTTTATGCTCTCGGCCTGCTCAAGGGCCGCCCAAATCCGCCTCTGCTGTTCTTCAAGTTCTTCCAGAGTCAGTGTGTCCTCGTCCATAGGTGCAGATGCTGTCCTGGTGTGTGGTGAGTCACCGGGAGTCAGTGGTGGGGTGCCCTTGGGGAGCGGAGGGGTGAAGGTGGGCGGAGTGCCCTGTGGCAGCTGGGGAGGGGTGCCAGGGGGCAAGGGTGGCTGAAACTGAACAGCGTTCCCGCTCGGAGAACCATGCAGGGCCTCTGCATCTGGAATAGGAAAGTTAAGAAACATGAAGTTGTCACAGCACTTGGCTTTACTAACATGTATTACTTGAACTTGGGTATCCAGATTCAATGGCCAAAAATAACCGGCTTCAGGAGGAAAACTCTGTCATACTCACACCAGGAGATTTACCACTGGGTGCTCATAAAGAGCTTCCCCTCTCTAAACGGGACTCAGGTGCACACGTTTGTCCTCCCTTCTCAATGGAATCAGAACAGAGACGAGACCCACCCGAGTCGAGCTCCATGTCGGCAGGGGAGGCGGAGCTGCTTTCCTTCTTCTGCTTCTTCGGACTCCTGGAGCTGGACTGCGGCGAAGACCTCTTGGAGCTGGACCTCACATTGGGCTAACGGAGACGCCAGACCAGTTAGAGGGGTAGACAAGAACGACACTCCATCCCTTCACTTAACTACGATGTAGGAAACCAATGTAGGGCCAAGGCTCGCAGCCAGTGAATGCAGCTACCTTTTACATTTGATTCATCAGAAAACACAGAGAACTTTTTTTTTTGGTTAATCCTCACCTGAGGACATGTTTTCCATTAATTTTTTAGATAGAATAAAAGGGAGGGAAAGAGGGAGAGAGAAAGACACATCAACTGGTTGCCTCCCTCATGGCCCCAACTGGGGCTGGGGACTGAAACGGTAACCCAGGCAAGTGCCCTAGACCAGGAATCAAGCCCTTGACCCTTTGGTCCACAGGCCGATGCTCCAACCGCTGAGCCAAACTGGTCAGGGCAACATGGAGAATTTTTATACAAAGTAAGAGAGGCAATTAGATGCTAATGCATTACAAAGTCCCACAGACATATGCAACACATTTTCATAGAGGACATTCTGAAAGTCTCTTTACCGCTTGGAAGTTAGAAGTAAGATAACTGGCAAACACGTCCTTCTGCTGACTGGCCTGCATTGGTATGGAACCAAACATCCGCCATTCCTAATGACAGGAAGAGAAGGAAAAAATAAGTGTGTACTTGGAAAACAGCATGCTTTGAGATTTTGGTGAAAGGAGGTAGAGATCTCAAATTACATTTCTGCTTCATATGTGACTTTTCATTTTTTGGGGAAATTAATAAAAATGGTGTGCTGAAGGGAAAAAAACAACAACTCTGTTCACAGAACAATCAGGACTGAATACTTAGAGCGACTTGACAAAATTGCTTGGCCCCAAAACGTTCTGCTGACCACAAGTACACAGTATAAGCAGTACCGACATGGACTCTCATCCGGCCTGGCTGGCTCGCCCCTCTCCTGCCTACTCAGCGCTCCTTCCTCCTAACAGTGACTCATGCTGAGCTTTCTATCTTCTGTTCTTTCCCTTTCCAGATCTGAGCATCATCTTTAAGGTTCAACCTTTCTCTTTCATCACCAACAGCAGTCAACAGCGATTGTTACTAAGAATCACTCTGGGCTCTTGTTAAACCTGTGAATTCTAGGGACTGAGTCAGTTACGACTAAGAGACAGACGCAACAGTGTGCATTTCCGCCCTGGACAGTGTGGCTCAGTTGGCTGGGTGTTGTCCCGCACACCAAAAGGTTGCCGGTGATTCCAGGTCGGGGCTCGTGCCTGGGTTTTGGGCTCAAGCAGTTGATTGGTGTTCCACTTTCATATCCATGTTTCTTTTCCTCTTTCCTTTCCCCTCTCTCTAAAAATTAATTTAAAAAAAAAAAAGAAGCTTATTTCCCACAAGTACCCTAAGAGGATTTTCTTGTGGGCTGGGTCTTGGATCCACTTTCAGATGCAATGATGGCTTGAACGATGCAATTTACCCCATACAATTTTAATTTTATAATTCTCACCTGAGCATGTTTTTCCATTGATTTTTAGAAAGTGTGGGAGGGCCCTGGCCGGTTTGGCTCAGCGGTTAGAGCGTCGGCCTGCGGTCCAGAGAGACCCGGGTTCAGTTCCCGCTAAGGGTGCGTACCTTGGTTGCAGTTTGTCCCCGGCCCTGGTTGGTTGTGCGGGTGGCAGCCACTCGATGTGTTCCTTTCGCATCGATGTTTCTCTCTCTCTCTCTCCCTCCCACTCTACCTGAACAAAAAATGGAAAAATGTCCTCAGGTGAGGATAAAAAAAACAAAACAACAGAAAGTGTGGGAGGGAGGGAAGTAAGGAGGGAGAGACACATCGATTGGTTGCCTTTGCACAACAGACTGAGGCAGGGGATCAAACCTACAACTCAGGTTCGTGCCTTTGACCAGGAATTGAACCCAAGACCATTCAGTCCTTGGGCTGATGCTCTAACCAGAGTCAAACTGGCCATGGCCCATGCAACATTTGTAAAATTAAAATACTGCTTCTACCACGACCACTACCATAGGTAACTGATGAACTTTGAAATACAAGAGTTGTAAAAGAGTAAGTGTAGAAACCAAACCATTCTCATATAAAACAAGAAATTTTACTTTGAAAAACAAAACAAAACAAAACAAAAACAACTGAATGAATATAAGATTTCACTTAAGATTCTGGTCAACGTAAAGGAGATTAAAAAGTTAAAGACATAAGTAACACATTTACTTCTTTATGTAACAGTAATAGCCAGATATGCTGACATTTTGAACAATCTATACATCTCAGAAGAATAAAAACCAATATACTTACATCTGGAATTCCTCTGGGAGTAGATATATTAAAACCTGGGTAGTTTACCAATTTCGAGAGATCATAAGTGACATTTTGAGTCTGATGTATTTCTCCAGCTTCTGTTTCCCCATCAGCATCATCTATTACAAACCATCAAAATGGTTAATATTGCTAGATACCAATATAAACCTCTCTCCAGCCCAAAATCAGACCTGGAAAGTGCTTATATTCATGGCAAGAACATCATTCTGAGAATGGCTCTAATTACAGTGTGTCTGAACCATTAGATCAGAACTGTTAATGTGTACATATTACTTTGATAAAATATTTAAAATCTTGGAAAACCTGATTCTTCCATGGGTTGGTTAGAAGTCTACTTCCCTCCTGGTCGTAGTGGCTCAGCTGGTCCAGCCATTCTCCTTTACGGCCTTAATGCTGCTTTCAGTTTTTCACTAACACTCAATGCAAAAATATACACTCATTTCCCCGTGCACGCGTGTGAATATTCTCGAGAATAGCTATCTAAGAGAGGAATTCTAGATTATAAGAGGGTTTATGTATTCTAACTTTTATAGGTCTCCTGGTATTAATGGATATATGTTACCATTACTGAGAAAGGCAAGAATTTAGGGGCACTAGCTGGAGAGTTGGTACTTTGACCTAGTAGTCACCAAGCAGGTCCAGATAACCATCTGATAATTCTCAGTGAAGTTTTAGTTCCTTCTTTGCAAAGTAAAGAAAATGGCATCATGATATTTTTTATTCTATTTAAAAAATTTTTTTTTCCTTTATTGGTTCTAGAGAGAGAGGAAAGGAGAGGGAGAAAGAGATAGGAACACTGATGAGAGAGAACACTGATTGGCTGCCTCCTGCATGCTCCCCACTGGGGATCTGGCCCACAACCCAGGCATGTGCCCTGACCGGGAATCAAACCGGCAACCTCTTGGTGCAGGGGTCGAGGCTCAACCACTGAGCCATACTGGTTGGACAACCATCATGATATTTTTTAGTTAACTCAGTACACACTAAACAAGCCAGCCATTCCTATCACTTTTTATTGTGTTTCATTAAAAAGAAAAAAAAAAGATAACACTGAAACTGACTTATCTAACTTAAAATTACCTTTTCCATCATAGAGCGCAAGCCCAGAATTCTCCAGCTCGGCCTCTTTGAGCCAACCTGGTGGGTATCCTAGCTGGCGCATTCGATATATGAAAGGTGGAAGGCTCTTGTCCGTCACACCCAGTGCATCCTGAAGTTCCTCACTAAGTAAAAACAAAGGAAGAAGAAAAAGTACTGTATTCTTGTTTGCATGAAAATACATGCTATTCTGATGTTTTAAAAACGATTGTCACATTATACAGCATGTGGCATGGTGCCTATCAAATATATAGCTAAGATTTCACTGAATGTCTTCAAATGAATTGATACATGTTATCTAGAGCCCCGCTAGAGAAAACTTACATGCTGATAATTACCCTAAATACACAGAATGTTTCAAATACTGGGGAAACTAGAAATGACATTTTGTGGTAAACTGACAAGAAGTACCTAATAACTCCTGGCTTGAATTTTCCAAATCTCTCTTCCACTTCGTCTGCGTGGTACCGCTGCTGGAAACTCTGGTTGTTTGTCTCACTGCAGGCATCCAAGTACTCTTTCCTCTTTTCGCTTATCCGAGCAGCATTCCGAGGCTACATTGTAATGCATTTGAAAAAAAACGGTATCAAACACTTTAGAAATATTTCAGAAATTAGTATGAGCACTTTGCTTAGGTCAGGCAAACAAATTATTTCAGCTTTTTTTTTTGTTTGTTCAGGTAGAGTGGGAGGGAGAGAGAGGAACAGAGAGAGAGAGAGAAACATTGATGTGAAAGGGACACATCGAGTGGCTGCCACCCGCACAACCGACCAGGGCCGGGGACAAACTGCAACCAAGGTACGTGCCCTTAGCGGGAACCGAACCCGGGTCTCTCAGGACCGCAGGCGGACGCTCTAACCACTGAGCCAAACCGGCCAGGGCTATTTCAGCTTTAATGTATAAGGAACAAGTATAAAAGAAGGTGGATATTTTAATAAGCCAGAAAGAGAAACAATCATTTTAATTTCTTATTATCTCAGTATTAGCATAATATAAAATCAAGTTTTTAGAATACGCTGTCTAAAAATCGACACCCATAACGTTCCATCCACCTCAAATACAGAGCACTGTAGTCAGGTTTTAAAACAATCCAATGACTTCAAATTTAAGTACAAATTTGAAGATTTCAAATTTAAGGACGACAGGAAATTAATGTAGGAAGTTTCTTTATATCACAAATGCCATAAATAGGATGAAAACATTAGGAAGCTCTGGTTCAAAGATTTTTTTTATAGGAGAAAACTTTACCATTGAGCAATCTTTCATTTGATGTTCTTCAGAACCACAATTGAAACAGTGAGGCTTTGGCCTATTTGGTAAAAAAACAAAACAAAGATTTTCACAATGTAAATGAATATATAAAAGCAAATCAATAAAATCCCAGATGACAGCACAGTGTATCAGAGAGAAGTGTGTCGACCACAGATCACTAAGCTCTGCAATGGGCACACTCTCAACTCCCGTACTTAGTGATTTAAACAAACCGTACTTTTAACCAAGAACCCGATGTTCCCACCTGATCTGTTACCCCTGAGTTTGTCAATGGTTAGTACCAGATCGGATTTCCTCTAGGCAACAGGGATGGGGCAGATGGTTTTAAGACAGCAATCACAGTGACAGCAACAATTAACCTTTCCACCCACCCAGACACACTAGGCATGGCCCAATAAATCCCAATAAACAGATCAATTTGAACATTTAACATAGGTCTGCATATTAAAATCATAGCTTAATCTAGAATTTATTTATAGTAAGCCAGCAATAAAGAATATTAACTTTTCAAGCTAAGAGTTTATGATTTGGTTAAAAAAAAAAAAAAGCAGAAAACAAAACCAAAACAACTCCACACACAAACCTTTTTGCCTTTACTTGTATTTCTTGCCCTTCTAGAGAAAGAATGTGGCTGAAGGCTTGCTGGTACCTTTAGTGAATTTTATTAAGGAATAGTTATCATAGTCTGCAAAATTTGGTAAAATTTTTAAAAGGTGAACTTAATGGCAAGATGCATAAAAGATCTTCATTCACTATGTAGGATACTTGGGTATTTCCCATCCTTCGGTAAGCTGAGGGTTTTCATTTAGGAGCGGTTGCCCCAATTTATCAAGGCAAAAATTAGTAAAATACAGGACACTTCCTACAACCTGCAGAAAACAAGTCAAAAAATATTGCTATTTAAGCAGGAAAAAGAAGACATTAGATAATGTAAGACTATGATTAACTGCTTTAACCATTTATTTTGAATGAAATTATTAGAAGTAACTCCCTAGTTAAAGGAGCCAGATGTCAATGTGTACATAAAAACTGCATATTTAACTTTCCCTGTGCCTCCATGATTATCGAGTTGTTCCTTTGTTTGGATTATTACTATCAGCGGCACGCCCTCCAGACTTAAGAGATAAAAACTTGTCCCCTACTCTCACTTTTCCCTCCAATTTCCCATTTCTTCGCTTCCCTTGCAGCAAGACCCTCAGAAAAGCTGTCTATATTTATTGATTCTATTTCCTTTCCTCCCAGTCTTCCCCCCCCAAATATTTTGGAAAAATTTTATACAGAAAAGATGAAGAAATGGTACAATGAACACCCATGTACCCTCTATCCAGATTTAACAATTGTTAATTGACTTTTTAAAAAATCCTCACCCGAGGATTATTTTTCTACTGACTTTTCAGAGAGGGAGAGAGAGAAACACAGCGATCAGTTGCCTCCTGCACAGCCCCAGTGGGATCAAACCTGCAACCCAGGTATGTGCCCTTGACCAGGAACCAAACCAGCAACCCTTTGGTCCTCGGACCGACACGCTAACCACTGAGCAAAACTGGCCAGAGTGCCATTTCTGCATGCACGTCTGTCCTCTCTCTTTCTCTCTCTCGAACACACACACACACACACACACACACACACACACACACACTTACTTTTTACTGGGCGTTAAACAAAGCCAGTCACCTCCACTATGATCATAGTCTAAGCCATCGTTTTCTCTTGCCTGAGATGAATACAGTAACTTCCTAACTGGTTTCTAGCTTGTGATTTGCATGACACTTCAGCCCTACATACTTCAGTACAAGCCTTCTAAGAATAAGAACATTCTCCTACAAACCACAACACCATGGTCATACCTAAGAAAGTTATTAACTCCTCAATACCATCTATTACCAATACATATTCAGTTTTCCCCAACTATCCCCAAAGCCTTGTACAGCTTTTGTCTCCCTAAGCCAGGATCTGATTAAGGTTCACATACATATACATATTAATATCAAATCTTTTTTTCTTTATTGATCTTAGAGAGAGAGGAAGGGAGAGGGAGAGAGACAGAAACACAGATGAGAGAGAACATTGATTGGCCCCCTCCTGCACGCCCCCCACTGGGGATCAGGCCCACAACCTGGGCAAGTGCCCTGACTGGGAATCGAACCGGTGACCTCTTGGTACATAGGTTGATGCTCAAACATGTGGTGATGAGCCACACCGGCTGGGCAGTATTAAATCTTTTAGTCTCCTTTGATCTACAACAGTCCCCTACTTTAACATTAAAACGACACTATCCTTCTCTCACGCCCAGTGGCTGCTGTCTGCTCCTCTCACGGCCCTGAGCTGTCTGACAGTGCAGCCCCCAGGGCCCCTTGCAGCCAAACCCAGCGGCCACCCGACCTATCAGCAACAGGTGCCACAGCTGATACCCCTTCCTTCTAGACACACCTTCTTCCCTTGGCTTCCACACCAGCCACCATTCTCTTGGTTTTCTTCCAGCCTTGCTGACTCATCCTCAGGCTTCTCGGCTAGAACCTTCCCACTCTCCCGTCCCTAAGGCTCACCCTAGCCCTCTCCACTTGCGCTCTAGGTGGTTCCAGACTCCCGGTAGCAAATATGATTTGTATGCCGACAGCCCCAACACCCAGGTCTGACCGACCCTCCTAGACTCCGGTCTCGTACACGCCAGTGCCAGCCTGACAGCTCTCGCTGGACAAGGGGAGGCATCTCACACCCACCCGCTTCAAACTGCAGTGGATTCCTATCCCATCTGTACCTGCTCCTCCCCCTCGGTCTTTTCCATCACAGAAAAGGCAGCGACATTCTTCCAGTTGCTCAGGACAAAACAGTCATTCTGACTACGCTCATTCTCATATTCTACATTCAGATCGTCAACATATTTGATCAGTTCTACAATCAAAGTATCTCCAGGTTAGAAACCACTTCTGATCACCACCACTATCACCTCAGTTTTAGCTGTCATTTTATCTCACCTGAGATGAGTACAACGACTCCCTAACTGGTTTCCAGCTTCCATACGTAACCAGCCACACACCTATCCACAGAGAGCCAGTTCTTTTAAAAAATTCAAGTTATACCATGTCACATTCTACTTAAAACCCTCCAATGGCTTCTCATCACAGAATAAAATTCAAAGTCCTCACTAGGGCAATGTCAGGATTCAGATCATCTGCGGTGGAGCCAGAGGCATGGATTCAAACTCTGGCTCCACTTACTAGTTAAGGGGCTACTGGCAAGTTACTTAGTTTCATGCCTGTTTCCTCAAACAAGTTCAAATGATGAAACAAGATGAATAGTAGTATCCTTAGGAGTAACATTTGTAACGAGGTCCAAGGCCTGTTTGCTTTGCCTTAGGGCCTCTCACTTCCTTTTCCTACTTCCTGGAGTGTTCCTCTCTCAAACCGTGGTGAGACTCACTCCTAATTACTCAGGCCTTGGTTCAGAGAGGTCACTACTAGATACTCTCTATACAAACCAAACACCCCTCAGTTCCAAACTCCTTAGCCTGCTTTGTTTTTCTTTGGAGCACTGCCTTCCCCCACTAGAATGCCATTCAATGAGGGCAGGGACTCTGCATCTTTCTTCATTACTTGGTCCCTGGAACACAGAACAGTCCATAGTACAGAGGAGCATTTATTAAATATTTATTAGTATTTAGTAAAGAACAAAATTAACACATGCAAAATTCCCAGTTTCCAGGCAGGTGCTAAATCCCAGAAGCTCAGTTTAGAAGGGAAATGAAAAGCGATCTAGTTCAAATTCAGAAATCTTTCTTTAAAGTGCTCGATAGCATCTCAGTCTTTGACTCTAGTAACAAGGAATTCACTTTTTAAAAGAGACAGACCACTTTGTTTTTCACATGCCTGATAGAAACTCCAACTTACGAAACGTTGAGTTGAAATGTGCCTCTCTGTTCTCAATCCAATCACTGGGCCTAGTTCTGCCACTTGGCACTTTGTAGGGGGAATCTCAAATGGCACCTTTGCAAACAACAGCCTTTATCACATTTGCAGAGATGTGACATCCCTTGTAAACCTTTTCAATGAAGTTTGTGGGCTCGTCATCATCCCAGCAGCCCCATGTCTTTAAATTATGGTTTATCAATAGGGCACAATACTTCATAAACATGAAAACCAGTCTTCCTTTAAGCATCTTCTTTAAAAAAGTTAAGTTGCAAAAAATCATACCCTTACATCAGTGACACCACTAAATTCTGCCGAGGCACTGAAAAGGCCTAAACATAGGTTTGTCCCCGTTAAGCTTCTTACAGTTAAAATGTTTTAAATTTTGCCCTGACTGGTATGGTTCAGTTGTTGAGCGTCATCCTGTGTATTGAGAGGTCACTGGTTCGATTCCTAGTCAAGGCACATGTCTGGGTTGCAAGTTCAATCCCCAGTAGGGGTCGTGCAGAAGGCAGCCAGTCTGTCTCTCTCCCTCATTCTCCCTTCCTCTCTAAAAATAAAAATAAAAAAAAATTAATGTTTTAAATTTCATATCTGCCATCTGTTATATTTGCTATTTACCCTCTTAGCTTCAACCATTTATAAGTTCAACCAGTATGCCTTCTATACCTTCCTCCAATTTCTTGAATTAACAAACATAGAGAGGTTGGTCAGGACAAAAATAAAGTTCTCCATCAATGTCTATTGTGCTCCCAGGTCAATAAAATATTAAAAAGAAGACCATAGTATTTAGAGGCTGAAGTCTACACTGTTGTTCATAACAAATTTAATGAAAGAATATGTGATCATGTGATGACACATCTACACCACGTTATCATTTAAATGTTGCCCAACTGACACAGGATAGAAACCATGTAACACCAGAATTCTAAAGCTCCAACATCCAAACTTACACTGAAAGCTTCCTTGCTGTTTACAATGGTACAGGATTCTTCTACTTTATGGTCCTCTTCTAGGACAACACTGGATGGCTGATACAAAAAACACACACATTACAAAGGGTAACCAATTCTTTAAAATTCAAACATTAGCAATCTGAACATACTTTATTTTCTCATACATATAAGGTATATAAAAATTTGAATTCATTATTGTCATAATTAGGGTGAGTTAAGTTAAGCTAGGTATGAATGCTTATGAAATTTCACAAGTAGGACAATTTGAAAATTTAAAAGATATAAAAATAGGGTCCACTATGACTTTTGTGTTAATGAATATTAATTATGGAACTTTCAACACTGAAACTGGCTAGGCAGACTTCAGTTTATCTTGAAATCAGGAAACCCGAAAGATTAAAATATATAACTTTACATTACTGGTCAATACTAAGATAACCTTCACCAACCTCAAGCCAGTAAAAATTCTGAAGTGTACCCTGAATCAAAACTTTAATAACATTTAGTATGGTTTTCTTTGTTAAATACATTTTCCATTTCTTGAATCTTTAAAAACTGTATATAGGTAAAAACTAAAGATGATTAAAAAATTTAATTTAGCCCTGGCCGGTTTTGCTCAGTGGCTGGAGCATTGGCCCGAGGACCAAAGAGTTCAGGTTTGATTCCGGTCAAGGGCTCGTACCTCACTGTGGTTTGATCCCCAGCCCTGGCTGGGGTCGTGCGGGAGGCAACCAGTAAATGTGACTCTCTCACATAGATGTTTCTTTCTCTCTTTCTCTCCCCCCACCTTCCACTCTATCAAAAAACAACAACAACAACAAAAAAAAAACGGAAAAATATCATCCTTGGGTGAGGATTAACAACAAAAAAGACTGGAGGGACACAGACTATCTCAATCATTTTGGTTTTGATTCAAGAACATTCTCTTGGCCTAATAATTAGCAGTGAAAAGCAAAACCTACTAATCTTAAAGTTTCTTAAGTTTGAAAATACCTGGGGCAAAAGATTAAAGGAAGTCTTTTCCACATCATTTTTCTGCTGTTCCTCAAATCTTTTTACTAAATTTGATACAAATTCCTCTATTTCTTGATGATATTGCCTGCGTAAGAGCACAAAAGGGTCAGAACTCAAAGTAAAACATGAACAGACTGAAGTGTTATGATTATATCAGGTGTCACTTTTGTTACTTTGTGTTTCAGGTTTATCAAACCACTGACTCTGTTACACTCAGGCGCCACACGCTGGTGCCAACTTAACAAAATGATTATGATAACCTAACACAGAGCTTGGCATGAAATAGCAAATATTTGCATTAAGAATCAATGGATTTTAAAATAAATTTTACGTATTTGAATGCATAATACATACAAGTAGTTTGATTTCCAAAAGTAAGAGGGTTACATGACGAAAAGCCTCCTTCCCACCCCCTCGGCTAGCCACCTGTTTCTGCCACACAAAGGCAACCAATACACCTGGTTCTTCCACATCCTCCTCCCTGAGATTCTCTATGCACATATAAGGAAATACTATATAAACATTAAACTTGAAAAAAATAAAACCAAAATGCAATGCAAACAAACCTACTGAGGTCTATTTTCTCCAGTTTTCCATGTCTAGAATCACATTCACCTAATACTCTTCAGTATCAGTTGAGAAGGGGGCAAAGGAGCCCAGCTTGGGCTGTGGTTGGGCAACCAACTTCCTCTTCACAGACCCAAAGACCTGTCAAGTCTCTAGCTCTGACATTCTAAGACTTCTGTAGGTGAAACACCAAGTGAGCGGCGCAGAAGCCAGGCTGCTGTGAGCGCGAGTAGATGCTGAAGGCGATGCCGGTGCTAGAGCCCAGCTGCGCCCTGCACCTTGCTGCTGCTACTCACCACCCAGCTTCCCCACCCCTCGGAGACTCAGGTTCCTCTTCTGCCGAGATAAAGAAGGTAATGGGCCTGCCCCACAGGTAACACTCTATGTATAAGTTCCCTTTCCCTTCTTCACTTTGCCCAGCACATAAGAGAATGTGATTAAGTGACATGGGAGGGGGCAAGCAACTGTCTGAAATGTCTGTAACCATTCTCTGAGGCAGGCCAGGGCACAGCCTCAAACCATTTCAGAACACGCTAGCAAGCCCTGCAGGAATGAATGCAGTCACACTGGTGCTGGAAGGCTTTTTGCAAAGGTCTAGTTTTGATATTAAAAAAATGTATCGTGCCCTGGCCAGTTTGGCTCAGCAGTTAGAGCGTTGGCCTGTGGTCCAGAGAGACCCGGGTTTGGTTCCCGCTAAGGGCATGTACCTCGGTTGCAGTTTGTCCCCGGCCCTGGTTGGGTCGTGTGGGTGGCAGCCACTCGATGTGTCCCTTTCACGTCGATGTTTCTCTCTCTCTCTCCCCCTCCCACTCTATCTGAACAAAATATCAAAAAATGTCCTCAGGTGAGGATAAAAAAAAAAAAAGCAAAAAAAAAAAAAAAAAAAAAAAATGTATCGTGTGTGGACTCTCTGAAGATAGCCAACAGGGAAAACTTTCCTGAAGTGGGAAGAGAAACGGCTAACATTACTGTTGTGATAGTAGTGTTTGTTTATTTTTAAATTAGAGGTTATTTATTGGGTTCGTACAGGTGCTCATTTATCTACCTAGGAGGTGGTTACTGTTCATACATGTCCTGCTTTCCAGTGAGGAAACGGGTATGCAGAGAGGGTCAGTGACCTGCCCAGGCTCACACGTGTAGAAAGTAAGAGACCAGATTCAAATTCAAGTTTACATGACTCTAATGTTCTTGCTCTTCATCAGGATTCCATAAATTTTAAGTAAAAGAATAAGGATGGTATAAGTACAAATGAAAACAGCATTCTTATAGAAGACACTGTTTCATAAACATATGAATTCATATTTAGAAAAGAGAAAATGACTTACTTTGAAATAACATTGTTCATAAATAGAATCTGTAATAAAGGTCCATCTAACTTAGTGTTGTTCACCAATATTCCACTAAAACGAAAGTTAAAACATATTCTTAGAGGAGTTAAAGTAAAACTTGCATATATACATATAAACACATAACCTATATAACTCTTAAGTACCAAAGTTCATATAATATTGTATAAAGATTGTATAAGATCAGGAACTACACCAAGAACTCGTTTAATCAAGAAAAATCTGTTTCACCACTTTACCTACTTTAACTGTTTTACCCAGAGGTACCCCCTATATAACTTATTTTAAAAATACATCACAAAAAATTAAAAACAACAGTTACTCTTTCAGTTTTCAACCAGAAAGTTTCTTTAATTGTTGTTTCTTTACAAATTGAGGGGCGGGGGGAGGGAAGGACTGGATAAACCAGCAGGTTATAAGAATATATTCCTTTTCTTACGAATTTTTTAGAGAGTGAGGGGAGGAGGAGAAAGCGAAACATTGATGTGAGAGCAGATTCGATCTGCTGTCTCCTGCATGCCCGCTGGGGACTGAGCCAGAAACACATGCCTGTGCCCTGACCAGGAATTCATCTGGCAACCTTTTGATGCACAGGGGGATATATCTATATATCTATATCTATATCTATACCCAACCAACTGAGCCACGCTGGCCAGGGCAAGAATATATTCCTAAAAGAATCAGTGAATTTGGCCTGGAAATATACAGGAAAATGAAACACAACAAATAAATGGATAGGTTCGTTTTGGAGGGCAGAGCACATTGTGCTGAGTCTCTCAAGTGCAGGATTCTAAAGTGGAGACAGAAAAGCACGCTGTTCTGGATTTCACTCTCAAATACGGCAAAGAGCAGAACTGGACCGCAGCCTGGAACCTGCACTATGCCCAGCCCTTCGGCAGCCTGGAGCAGCCGAATCCGATTCCTCCGCACTTGCCTCATGTTCCTCTACCTGGACAGCATGTGAAACACATCCGCTGGTATTTGGAACTGTTCTCTTCAAGGAGAGAAATAAAATTAAAACATGGGAAAGTTCAGAGACTTGTTTCAACTTGAGCAATCTTCAGTTTTTAAAAATGCATCCTGTTTTTAAAAGCCCCATGCAGCTGCACGGTCTTGGGGGGAGTCCAGTTTGAGCAATCAGCTATAAAGGCATCAGTCGCATTCATTTGAATAGGGACGGGGCTGGAATGCTTATCAAGGGAATCATGACAATTATCAGGTGTGATAATGGTGGTGAGGTTAAGCACAAAAAAGTATTACTAAAAAAAGATACAAGCGAAAACATTCGGGGTGAAATGTGAACATGGAATTAGAATATGGCAAAACAGTAACTGTTAATGTAAGTGATGAAAAAGGGGTAATAATTATACTATTCTTTCCACATTCTTTGTTTGAAAATTGTCAATATAAACTAAAAAACAAACAAATAAACATGACGTCTATTGGATAACAAGAGACACTTCTGATCGTGATGGTTCCAAAGTAAGGATTAAACCAAGGGGCTTGGGGAACAATTTTTATTTGAATCATTTTCTTTCTTGGTTTTCTGTAGAATGCTTTAACAATTTGACAATATGGAGGGCACTAATTCTAAAAAAATAAAGTATTCCTTTTTCATGACAGTAATGCTTGCTTGTTATAAATTGGCAAGGCCTATGATGCCACAGTCATTTGAACTCAGGTGATTATAATTCACTTTAAAAATACACATTTCATGTTTAAATAATCAACTCTATTGAGAAATGTTATCTAAAATAAAATACCTTTTAATATAGTAGAAATTATGATTTCTGAAGAATCGTAGTTATAGTCAATAGTTAATAACTAACCAAAAATGAGTTTAGACCCATAAAGTATGCTCCCATAGAGGAAGAAAGGTAGGGCATGGGGAAGTCATTCTGAAATGCGTCTAAACTCTAAATTTGCACTTTAACAAATATTTTAGATTAATACTGTAATCTTAATTCTAACTTCCTGGAAATGTTTGTTAATAGAACAGCTGGGTTGACAACTTACCTATTCTGAACATTAAATCAAAATTTTCTGGATTGTTTCACAGATATTTTCACTCAATAAGTCAGTTTAATGCAATTATGAAAATTCAAATTTTACTCTTACAAAGTAAAAATAAAGGGATCATTACTTTGATTTCTTCAGAGTAGGCTGAACAAATAAAAATGATATAAAAATCCTCAACACCCTCTTTATAAAGAAACTGTGATTAAATATTAATATCGGGATAAAAAAAATAAAGGACAACTATGGTGTAACTTCAAGATCTCATACCTTGGTCGAGTCAGAATGTTCAGTTTTCTTCTAAGTTCTTGATGTTATTATGTGTTAAGGAGGATAAGCCCTCATTAAACATTCATGAGGATCATAAAATTCAACTCCAAACTCTCACTTTTGGTGTCAGAACGTTATTCGCACTAAAAGACACGCAACTACTTTGAAGATGACACACTTACTGACCTTCTATTTTGTTGCAGGGCTAGGCACTGGACTTAAAAATCTATTAAACTGGTAAGAACAGATACTACACTTGATCTTAGCGATGAACTTACAAATTTAAATAGAGTTTTCATCCCTCCCAACATAGACATTTCGAAGATACCCTCTTATAATTCGAAAGAGACTAACAGACTGAACCAAGAACGTTATTCAAACAACAGTGTCCCGTCAAAAGCTACTCACTCACTTAAGAAAAATTTCCAAGCCCAAAGCATCACATGGGATAAAGCAAATGCAGTATAACAAGCTATTAACAACTGTAGAATCTAGGATGCTTTCAAACATTTTGACATTTCTCATAACATATAGAAGAAAAAGGCCTCATAAAAACAAACAAACAAACCAGCCTTTGAAACCTTAAAAGGTAATTGACCAACAGCTTTCGGGGATCCTTACAGAGTCTAAAAGGGAAACTACTACCCGAACTAAAATCATCTGTGTGTATATAGTTTTTAAAAACCCTTAAGACTGTCCATAAAGTTACTAACCCGTCCTGCCGAGAAAGGCTGTCATCCTCCAAATAGAGCCAAATGAAAACATGTGGCGCGTGTTCCCTGAAACGCTGCAACGCACCTTCAGCTCGGGGGCTTTTGCAAGTGGAAGAACTGGGACGTGAGCTCCCCGTCTTCATCAAGCAATTAGCCATTTCTCCTTGCACCCCTCCAGTCCTCAAGGCCCCCAGGGCGACATCTCAGGACCTCTCCTAGCTCTGCCTGGCGCACCCCCCACCCCCAAATCGGGTCTAAGTCTCCGATAGCTGCTCACACACACTGTGAGGACTGCAGCAGCTTGGCCTGGGCTGCAGAAAAGGAAATCGGGTAACGACTCCAAAAACCTGCACCGAACGGCTGCAACAGGGCGAAGTAACCCTGAGCACCGGCCCAGCCCGGGCGACGGGGGGAGCGAGCCGGGTCCGGGACACGCCGCCCAGAGGCGGAGAGGCCGGCGCCGGGGCCGCGGGGCGGCTCTGCAGCTCGAGCCCCGGTTCTCGGCCCGCGCGGGGAAGGTGTGCGCGGAGTTCCGGGCCTCGCGGAGTCTCCGCGCGCGCCCTGCCGCCACGGCTCCCCGCACACGCCCGGGCCGCAGGGCCCAGCGGGCGGAAGGATATTCTCGGCGCGGAGCTGCTCGATGGTGTCCTCGCACTGCTGAAGCCGCTCCCGCAGCGCCGCGTCGCCCACCCCGTTCTCGTCCTGCTCGTCGCCGTCGTCGTCCTTGAAGCGCGTGTGGACGGGCTTCGCGAGCGACTCCTCCGGGTGGTCAAACGCCTCGAACAGTTCTAAATCCCCGAAATCCACCTCTGCCGCCATTTTGGGCTGTGGGAAAGATTGGAGGAGAGGCGGAGCTGGCCACCCGGGCCGGGGGCAAAGGTCGTAGGGCGGAACCCCTCTCTAGGGCGCTAAGCCACCCTGTAGGGTTTTCTTCAAACGTAGGCCGCGGAAGCGGCACAAGGGGCGGGCCAGTTCCGAGGGACTACAACTCCCAGAGTGCAATGGCGTACCTCATACCCACTTCCGCGACTGCCCCGGAGCAATGCATGCTGGGATATGTGGTTTCTAAGCGACTGTTAACTCATTGTTTGCATTGCATACTGGGATTGGTCCCTTTTAAAGGTTAACAAAGCTAAAGGCGGAACGTGTTAAAACAATACGGGTCGTCCTACTCATGCATCTAAGGCTGAAGAATCGGAACACAGCGCATGCTTTATTACAGATTTTAGTGTCCACGCTAAACATCAATGAGAGAACTATAACGTTTGCCAGACTACCTTTGTGATCTTGGGCAGCTACTTCAGCCTATTGGACTTCACTTTTTCATGAAAAACTGGCTGGATTGTCCTGGCAGGGTGGGTCAGTTGGCTTGACGATGGTCCTGTATATCAAAAGGTTGCAGGTTTGATTCCCAGTCAGGGCACATACCTACATTGTGAGTTCAATCCCATTGGTACGCTTGCAATGGATGTTTTCTCTCTTACATCAATGTTGTCTCCCTCTCAAAGCAATAAATATATCCTCAGGTGAGGATCAAGTAAGTAAATATACCTAGATTGAAATAAAAACTCCCTAACTAAAGGCAATTCACAGCAGGTAGTCAGGTCCTGGGCCAGTATTTTTCTTGACAAAGGTCTGCCTTTACCTAGAGTCAGTCTTACTGTCTTTTTGCCTCTAAAGATAACCTATCTTTGGAAATGTCAGGGTTATTTCCATTCCAGATCCTTCAGGGCACAATCTCCCACCAGAGTACCCCATTGCTATTATCACACTGTTAACCATCTATGTGAAAAAAGGGTGTGTCTAAACCTGGCTGGTGTGGTTGGGTTAGATTTCCTGCCAATGCACCAAAAGGCTTGATTCCTGGCAAGGGTGCTGTGCAGGAGGCAGTTGATGGATGTTTTGCTCTCATCTGTTTCTCTCTTCCTCTCTAGAAAATTAATGAAAACATTAAAAAACAAAATTGCTGTGCTAGACGGACCATGTCATTCATTATATGGCAAGCTCCTAAAATATTGTACAGAAATACAGGAAGCAGTTATCGTGGGCTGTTATATCCACCATGCCTTACAAGTCCATGAGAGCGAGAGAGAGAGAGGGAAAGATGGAAACATCAATGAGAACATCCATTAGCCCCCCTCCAGCAGGCCCCCCACTGGGCATGTGTCTTGACCAGGAATCTAACTAGCGACCACTTGGGTCAACGCTCAACCACTGAGCCACATGGGCTGGGAAGTCCATGAACATTTTTAATGATGCTGATTTGAGAAGGCATACATAAAACAGAAAAGTGTTTGTGATGATGCCAAAATGAAAAATAACCGTGTCTTTTCCCCATAAATATGATTTTGTCACTGAAACATGAAGCCATTTCTCCATGCTTACTGTTCTCTGGAAAAACAAATTTAAACATTTACCAAAGTACATTGTTTCTTTTGTTGTTTTTTATCCTCACCTGAGGACATTTTCCCATTTTTGTACAGATAGAGTGGGAGGGAGAGAGAGAGAGAACATTGATGTGAAAGGGATACGAGTGGCTGCCATCCGCACGACCAACCAGGCCGGGGAACAAACTGTAACCGAGGTACATGCCATTAGAGCAAACCGAACCCGGGTCTCTTCGGATCGCAGGCCGACGCTCTAACCGCTGAGCAAAACCAGCCAGGGCCAAAGTACATTGTTAAAGATCTTATGCCATCACTTAATTATCCTGTATCACAAAAACATGCCTAACAAGTTGATGAGACTCAGTAACTCTGGTTTTTAAAATAAAGTTTTACCACTAGTAAGTCTTCCAGTGTTATATTGTGCTACTACATTGTAGCAATCTTTTCCAAAGGATTTTTCTAGGGAAAGTTAATGAATTACAAGTTCCGTAGTTTCCTCCCTCCACTATATTTATGCCCTAGTCAATTTAGTAAAAGTCGTTTTAGTACTTTATGCTAGAGAAGACTTCAGAGGGATAATGAGCAAAGGGCATACAAAGAACTTGTTATAAGGCACTTTATTAAAATAAAAGTGCTTACATCCCTTTAAGGTATTAATCTATTTCCTGAATAACATATGGAATATTTAACAAATACTGTACACCAATTCTGCTCCTTATAATAGTAGGAAAACAGTATTATTTTAATGTTTGTTTACTATTAACTTCCTTTTACATTTTTGCTCACTATGGTACTGCCAATTGCATTAAAAAAAAAAAAAAAAAAAAAAAGGAATTTTTAGCCACTTTTCTAATAGCAATCGCAAAATGCTACAGAAACCATGAAACAAATTCAAATGATTCCAGGTAACTTAAAATTAACACCAGTTTTGAGAAAACCATTTTTATTATCAACACCCAGCTTATTTGTACTGGTATGTACCAAATGGCCAGATCTTCTAAAGAACATCTACATTAACATTTCTTTCAATGTTTCAAGAGATGAAAATAACTGTACAAGGTTAAGTACAAAAGTACACAAGACAGCGGACACGAAAAAATCCATGTATGTGATTTTATCCCACCTGCGGCTTTTATATATTTTGAAAGAATTCATGAACTAAAAAATATTGTCCTTCTATAGTCCTGTCAAGTTTAATGGAAGTGGGTTTAACCTAATTACAACACTAACACCAGTATCACTGATCTGATATTTACAAAAAATCGTTATTTTTCAATAAATTAAAGTCAATGCAACACCCATGCAAGCTAGAATTCTAGCTGTTTGGTGAACAAGGACCTGACATCAGAACCAGAAGTCTAGAAAGTTCCAAACATTAAGTGAGATCTTTTTCAAACTGCATCCATTCCTCGCATCGATGAAGTGAAACCCAATCCCATTCCTCTTTGTGTGTGGGTCTGTGACCTTGCCATTTCATATTGGGCATCTAGATTTCGAAACACTTCTTCCTGTTGCTTCAAAGTCTTGTAACTTTCTTCATCAACTGAGCTACATCCAGCTTCATCTTCACTCTAAATATCAGGTAGAAAATATATTAAATTTATATGGGAATAAAAATTACTTCTCTCACTTCACAGTATCAGCAAATTACATTTTTAGGATTCATAGCTCCCTTCATTCATTCAGCACCTATGTTCTTTTTAGGTACTGGGATGTAACAAAAATCAACCTCTTTTTAGTGAGCATGATGAAGAACATGCAGAGCATGCCAGGCAATGTATAAACAGCCAGCTCAGAGCAGCTCAGTTTAAGCTAAGTATACTTTTCAATGTAAAACCAAGTCCCTTAGTAATAACCAATACCCGAGCATTTGTGTACCTTTCCAGGTTGTATGAAATCTAACACTGTATCTCTAGTATATGTCACTCGGCACAAACTCATTTTTTTCTACATTAGAAAAAAAAAAAGAAAAGCTTCTGCGACTCTTTAAAAAAAATCAGTACAGCGTGGGCCCTCGGACCAAGGAGTCCTGGCTTCAATTCCAGTCAAGGGCATGTGCCTCAGTTGTGGTTTGTCCCTGGTCAAGTTGTAAGGGAGGCAACTAGTTGATGTGTCGTACCCCCCACCACTCTACTTGAAGATAAATGGAATATCCTTGGGTGGTGAGGATTAAAAAGAAAAAAAAAAAAATCAAAACAAAATCAAGTCTTACTCTACCAGCTAGAATTAACCTTAAATGAGCAGTATTTATTTTTAAAGCAAATCCATTAATTCCTTTTTACAATTTATTTACAAACAGAAGCTCATGATCTCAAACAATGTTTACCTAAGGTATAATACACAATAATAATAATAAATCTGTTAAGTTAGGCCAAATAATGTGTGTTGTCACCTAGGGATAACACCGTATCACTTTAGTTAATTCTGTGAGATTAATGCGGAGAATATAAACAAAAAAACACCAAAAGTTGACACATCACTGAAATAATTTTGAAGCTGAGAAGCAATACTACCATGAAAATATAAATTAGCATAAATTTTAATAAAAGTGTATATACTCACCTTAATACCCATTAATTTCCTAAATTTGACGTTTTGGTCCTTGTTCCCAAAATTCAGTTTTTCCCATATTTCAGCAGACTGGGATTTGTCCTATTAAGAAAACACTGAACTTTTAGAACACACTAAAACTTTTAGAATATATAAAACTTAAATATCTTTCATTAGAGTATAAAATCTTTTCACATTATAAAGTAAAAGAAACAATAGCATTCATGACATTCTACCAACTGAGTTTATAACTACATTAAGATTTCTATTACAGAGTAATGAAGCAAAGAAATACAAATACATCATAATATAGCTTATGAAAAAAAACTAAGCTAAGAAGTTCCTTTTTCCTTAATCAATATATAACATTACTGGTTTGCCTAGATAACTTTTATTTTCAGTAATAAATGTGGCAAATTAAACTATTCCAATCAGGTTCTCAGAAGAAAAGCCCAAACAAATTTTTTCCAATACAAATTTTTTTCTTTTAATACTGATTTTATTTTAGAGAGAGAAAAAGAGAGACACATCCATAAGAAAGAGAACCAGTAATTGGCTGCCTTCTGCATGCTCCCTACTGGGTGGGGATTGAGCCCACAACGGGGCATGTGCCCTGACAGGGAATGGAACCAGGACCTCTCAGTCCATGGGACAACACTCAATCTACTGATGCACACTGGCAGGATCAAACTTGTTTTTCTAAGCAACTGCTAATTAGGAATAAACAAAAAAAAAGAGGGGAATAAAAGAACTTACCCCTTCTTTCTTCCCTTGCCAAAGCATTTTCCTTTTTTTCTCTTGTTCAGCAAACTTCATTGGATTCACAGCTGCTGGGTTGTAATAGCTAGGTACAGCGATCCCAGTCTCTGCTAAAGCTTTAGCCTGCAGGGCTGCCATCTGAGCCGCCATAGCTATCTGAGGAGTTACTTGCGTCCCTGATGCCAACAGGGCCGCAACATTGAGAACCGAACCTCCAGTAGCTGCAGCGGCTGAAAGAGAAGATAGTATGACTGAACATTAGGTTAAAAGCAAAAACATGTACAGTACAAATTATTATGGAATGAATTTATATTTATAAAGAGAATTCTGCAAATAGTTAATAGGTATATGATTTCAATAGAAATGAACTTTGGTGCTTGTAGTTAAACTTATAAACACAATTAAAAACTTGTATTTATACGGTTCTCTAGTTTATAAAATGATTTCAGACATCTCAAAGTCCTAACAAATGTTTAAAAATATTAAAATAAGTATTGTGCAAATTTAAGATATTAAACAGAAAGACTTCTAATTACATTTTTCTGTCAGTCCAGAATACAAGCTTAAGAAGTTCTCTAAATTACTAACATTATTTCCATAAATGGTACTTTATAAAATTTTAAAGTACCACTTAAAATAATTTTTGTTTTTATTGATGTTTTTAGAGAGAGGAAGGGAGATAGAGAGAAACATCGATGTGAGAAACATTGACTGGCTGCCTCCTGCACACC